AAAATATGGTCTATATCGAGTATTTAATATTGACTTAAATGAAAAACCTATTCAATCGGTTCCTATACCATCACCATTGACATCTCAATTAAAAGAATCAGTTCTTAAACAAGTTGCAACACCTCCTATATTAACTGAAAAGCCAAAACAAAAAATCTAAGAAAAAGAAAATAATTGAAAAACAAGAACAATTATCAACATCGAAACCTAAACACAAACGAGAACATAGTGGTGATAAAGAATTATTATCACCAGCTGATGAAGAAGAAAATCGTTCAACTTCTTCTACACCTTCTCTTGGTCCTCCTGTTACTGCAGGGAAAACCAAAGTAAAAAATCATCATCAAAAACAACAACAATAGTATATACAAATACTTCTGTGCCACTCCTATTGGACATTATGACGGATGATATTCATCCAACAAATCAATCTGAGCAACGATACAATGAACAAGATACTTATAAACTAGCTGCTCAATCTGACAATTTGACAATTGTAAATTCAATAATTATCCTAGTTTAACAATAGATGAGGAAACTTCGCTAAGTGATAAAATGCTTTTGACATGAGTCTTATCTCATTAGGTGGTAGACTCTATTGAGATTAGAGAAAATCTTCGTCTGATCATCTTTAAAAAATTTACCTTTGAGATATGAAAAGATGGAGTTCGCTTTTCTTCGTAACAGAATTTTCAATATTGATGTCTCAGGATAGAAGATATTCGGAAGTTTCTAACACTTACACAGTGAATTAATCCTATCAAGAACTTGATTTTGAAGATGATCTGAAGAGGAATTCACTAAAATGACTATTATGCAAACAAAAAAGATCCATTCAGATTCCAATTCCAAAAAAAAGTCAACTTTGTCCATCCCTAACTCATACCAACGTTGGAGATATTACTTTTTTTACCATTGAAATCATTTGAATATGCATTTAAACAATCTGTTATAAATTTATTTTTAGGAATATTTGATTAATCCAGATCCATTAATAGCTCAAGTGGATGTAACATTTCTTTTAGAAAATCGAACATCATTTATTATTGATCATATTAATATTCATGTCATTCATAGTATGAGTTCGAAATTATTAAATACAACAAATGCAAATTTAATATCATTTCCATCTATAAGTCTTTTTCCTCATTCACCAAATTATATTCGTATTTATTTTTAAATAAATGCTATATCATTTTCTCAAAAATTAAAAACAACATTAACTTATTCTATAAATGTATGTTGAAAAAATAAAAAAAAATACTTGTTATCTTTATTTTTGACAAATATATTTAGAAATTAAATATAATTGAAACAGATCGAATTGAATTTAAACTTAATTTACCTTGTTCACGATATTTACGACGAAAGACTATTGATTCGCAAGAACAAGTTTTTTTTATTAGGCTATTTAACATGAATATATATTTTTTTTAAAAGTATGGTATTCACTGATTTGATGAGTTCAGGTACATTGACATGTCAATCACTACTTCGTATTCCATCATCTAATCAAGATTTTCTATCGATAATTAATAAAATTTGTCAATTTTATTGATTAACTGGTTAGAAAACAAAATTGAAATTTTTTTTTATGTCCAAATTCTTAATTTAGTTGTCGAAAAAATTAATTCAGCTGCATCTTTACATGCTGAAACAATACTTGGACAACTAATAGCTCTTTTATTTAAATCAATAGTATGTCTATGTTAAGATTTTTATTTATTTAGAATTCTCAAAATGATATTTTAATTGATGATAAATCAACAAAAATACATTATCTTTCTAATCTCATGAAAGAAATAAAAACATCATTAAAATAATTTGCTTTTCTTTATTTCATTTATTTATTTTTATTTTTATTCCATGGACAATATCTATATAAAGCGAAAAGAAAAATAATAATTGACAAACAGTGATCTCGTTTTTTGCATCTATTATTTTTATTTACCAAAAAAAAGCAAAGAAAGAAGATCTCTTATGTATCAGATAATAAGTATATTTGATCTTCTGACACATAGAAAATATGTTCTTTTTTTTTGTTTTGTTCTGAATGATTATAGTTAATTCTTATGTGTATGCATATTTTTATTTTTTATTTGCTATAATTCGAACATTATATATATTTATAAAAAAGAGGAAAATTAATGATAAACTATTTAATCATTCTCGATTCGTTTCAAATGATTAGAAGAAAGAAATTTTTCTTTTTTATGAAGCTTATTAAATTTTCACGTATAATGAGTACCGATGAGCGGGATCAATCGTTTATTATCCTGATCTTGACTAGAAAAAGTTTTTTAGTTCTGATTTCCCACTTAGTAATACATGTACTAGCAAAATATGCAATATAATATTCTAGTAGTGTCAATAAACTCGAGACGTCTTGGACGATCCTCATGACTTCTAATATCCTGTCTCTTTGAGGATCATTACTTTTTTTTTAACTCACTAGTACCTGATCGGTTCTGTTCGTTTACATGTTCGACAATTCTCTTGTTTACGAACAAAAGAAGGATTATTTTACTACGAAAATTAGAACAGCAAATATTGCAGTGATCTTTACTCAATAATTTTTGCATAGACTTAGAATACATGAGTCGCAACAACACAGCATGATCATAAAATATATCACTCACCTAAACTTTGTATGGAAATAAAAAACACCTTACAAATATTGTTTACGGCTGTAAATCCAACGACAATAATTCCCCAGCACGCGGATTTGAATATTAGCATTGATAACAGGTGATATAAGATAATTGTTCTGATTTTTCTTTGATTTCTAAAATAAAAATATTAGCTAGCTCACAATTATGCAAATGACAGAAAAGGATATAATTGATATAAGGTGTGGATATAGATGAGGCTCTTGTCTTCACTCGCACACACACACACCATATATACTTTCATAATAAAATAAATCTTACTACCTAACCTAACGTCCAATAGCGGTGTAACCAGGATTCTTAGACCAATGGGCAAACTCTCCTATGTCGAAAAAAGCCAATGGGCGAAATGGGCAAGGTTTTTATTGATAGGCCAAAACTTTTTTCACCCAACAAAGTACTAATAATGTAAAAACAAACATGTATGAGGTAGTGTTAAGGATTCTTCAAATATGTATCTGTACAGTGTCACTCTATATGTATATATATCTATACATATATATGTTCGTGTGTATTCTCTTGATCTGTGCTCTTATTTCTCTTCTCTACTTTCACGTGGTTAGTGTTTTCCCTATAAAACCGAATTCATGTTCACCCAAACTTACAGTTATAATCAGAGTTGCCAGATCTTCTAAAAAGTCAGAAATTTTTCTGAAATTTGAACATGTTTCCGATTTTTTTTCTGATTTATTGGCGAATTCCAAATATTTTTAGATGGTGGCTTTACTAGCGAAATCAATCGCAAGTATAATTCATTAATATTATGAATCAATATTTCACTATCTTCTTTCCCTTCTTAATCTTTTGTAGTTTATAAGTTCTGCGCTCGCTGACGAGTGCTGTAATATACCAGTAAACTTTTGCGTTGCAGAACTTAAGAATAAATGCTAATTATTTTTTTGAACGATTTTGTAAACATATTTTAGCTCAAAAGGGTGGGTGTGGGTGTGGGCGTGGGTGAGTGTTGCTGTCCATGTGAGTGTGAATTTACACTGGAAGAAGGAAAGACCCACATGCACGCACGTTCGCACGGATCCCTAGACCCACTCTGACACCCACATCCACAACCTCACACGCGGATTCTGTTATATTGATACCCAAATTGACTAACAAAGGCATGCCAAGATGAATAGTATTACCCATCTGTAGTTAATTCAGAATTCAGAAAAACTGAATGTTATTGTTGTAGGAATGTACTCCTTAAAGGAAACTTTCGAAAGATATTTGAATATCACATAAGGGAAATTTGAACGATCGCGTAGCTGTAGAAGTATATTCATCATTCGTCTCTAGAAAAGAAGTTCGACGAATTTAGCGAAGATATTTCATTGAGTCGCATAAAATAATGCTGTTGTTATTCGAAAGCCAACTGTAACAGCATTCAGTTTCATAATGAATGAAGCACCGAACAATATTGACTCCCAATAGATGTTGGTCTTTCATATGGTTTCGTACATTAAAAATGTGAAGCAACTGAATTTTGTCTTCAGCCATTTCTATTTACTCTTTCTTCCGATCGAATATTGATGCAAAAGAAACGAAAGTTACAAGTGTGATGAAATTTTTTTCTAAGCAGGTAAAAAAAATCAAGAAAAACAACCCAATAAAGTGAGTGGGTAACTCCCTGCATGCTGCAAACGAATGTTGTCAGTCATTTTTTCGTTTTTCATTTTATTGGGAATACCATCTCAGAGGCCTTAAACACCAATCGTGAGTATTTTTGAATAGTAGGATATTTTTTTATTGGACAGTTTTTCGACATTTTCTTAAAATCTGATACCATAAAACGATATGGAACACTATGTCGGCATCACTGCCAACAATCAAATAAAAATTTTGCAAGTAAATCCATTTGTCTCGTAGAATCAAATAGAAACGAAACTGGGCAACTCAACGAGATTTCTATTCAGTCAACGTCATTAGTAATAGCTTGTGAAGACGTCACAGATATTAGCGATAGACTCAAGTTTTCGGCTAATATTGGTCGAATCAGAACCGTCTTTATACAATCAAATATATCGTAGAATAGTAACAGTTGGAAAATGTTACACGCGCGGAACTCCTTAAAAAATTATACAAAATACACCGTTTTAGAGGTGCAATTCCAAATAAAACTTACATAGCTTCCTCTAGCATATACCTACTTCACGATGATTCATGCAGTGTCTGCACTGTCAACTAGAATCCGATGAGCTCTGTCGATTCACGCATATCTCATCGGTTTCTATCCGGAATCTTGAAATCCTGTATCTAAGCACCGGAAAAGATCTGCTTCTGCGTATTCATTCTATTGGCTATGTCCACTCTCACATCGTGAACCACTTGTCAAAGATCACGTGCAATATAACATGAAGTACAATTGTCATCCTGCATCCTGACCTTTACATACTTTACCCACACACCCTGAACCAACTATACTAACCCTCACCCACCCACACCAACCATTAGTCTCACCCGTTTCGACCCTAACCTTCAAGAGGGTGTAGACCTAGAAGGTGCGGTATGCGGGTGAGTGAATGTGAATGTAAATGTGGGGTGTGCGTATCGGGTGGATAGGTCTGAGCATCTAGCAAGTGAGAATAAACACATCCACACCATCCATACTCACACCCGCAGTCACAGTCACACTCTTAGTGTTTTGAGTTGGAAATTTTATCGTGAATAGAACTCATAGAGATATATATCCACAACATATTTCAGCTCAGTCAGTTGAACTGTTCTTGAGATATGATCCTGTCAAGACTCACGTTGGTCGAAATGTGGATTTTTAGGACTTTTTATAAAACAACCTAAAAAAACTGAGGGTCCAATATTTTTCAAAACGGCTTATATCAAAATTCATAAAATTCTTCCCTCCACAACAATATCTTAAATTGAGCAAGATCGGACAACCCCAATTGAGCAGATACGGCCGTGATGTACGTGAAATGACTAATATGCGAAATACAATTATAAGGATTAAGATTGAAAAAGTACGCCCCTACTATTTTTCTTAAATAAGCATATAAAAGCCTAATATTTTGGACATGCGTTTAACTAGGATGGGACTACACACTTTATTTTAGGCTATAAGTTTGTTAAATTTATAGTTTTGTAGCGGACGCTGCAGCAAACGACATTGCCAGTTGATGTGCAGGTAACCACACGGAGTTTTAGCTGAGTTTTCAAGCAGTATGGCGCGTTTTCACACTAGTGTCGTGTATGTGTTTTGCTTCGTGATCCTCTTAGTAAATTGAATATAATCTCTATTTCGGGTGCGCGGATACTGTTACCGCAGTGTAATTCATTTAGATTTCCTTTGGTTATCAAGATGTGGGGATCAGTTTGATTAAATAAATTTATGACAAAAAATCATCACATGGATACCCAAACCATTGTGTACAACAAGATTGACTTGAATACCAACGTTCACACACTCACTCATCCTTTTTCAAACGTTGGACACTAGCTTTGTTGAGGGCCGAAAAGCAGTATATAATATCGAACGAGCCGAATATTCAGTCGAGGGTTAAGCGAGTCACACGGACGAGCGTTAGTTGTGTTTATATATGTAATAAAAGTAAAGCTTAATTTAGAAAAAAGAGGGCTCTTCGGTGCCCTGCATCTTGATATATTCTTTCAAACAAAAAAAAGTTATTGGCTACAATGAAGCTCTTTCAGGAATTCCAGAATGTTAGATTAGAAAAGGATAAACGAGAAACTCGAAAAAGATTCTTAGATTTTTGTAAAAAACTGCTTCATTTTCGGGTAGGGTGTACCGAAGCTCCTTAAAAGTTTTCGTAGAAACTATATACCAAATGAAAATCTATATCATTTTCGAAAGAGCAGACTTTGAACTATCTTCTCATACACTCATATCAATGTCGTATTTCTGACGGATATTGACCGTTTTTTTTTAGGGAAGGAGGCCTTAAAGAGTTATGGTGATTATGTTTAGATAGCCCTTGAAAAATTATAGGGATTAACCCTAGTATATTTTAAATTAACTTTTATTTGATAAAAATGTCAAAATAAAATAACATCTTCATTTAGATCACTTAATTTTAAAATTAAGTGTTAAGTGATTCAATTAATTTTAATATTATGTGTTAAGTGATAACTTTAAACTTAATTTTTAGTTAATGTAAATGGTCCACCCCTAATTGTGAGTGATGGTGATATTTCGTATTTGTTCAAATAACTGTTTAAAAAAATATATCAGTACACATTTGTCATTCTCTACCCTGTTTATTTTTACATTTTTTTCAGTTCGAAAAAAATGGCAGCCAATAATGTAACATCACCATACTTTCTGGCTTTACAAAACAAACCAAGCTCAATTATCAGAATTAACACAAGTATAGCTGCAATGACTGTTAATAATAATAACAATGCCTTACTTTATTGCCCTGAAGGTCATTTATTGTTAATTGATGAACAAGGAAATGAAATGTTAAATATTAAACGGGAATTTAAAATCTCCGACATGTGTTTCTCATCCTTTTTAAATCAATTTTTTATTCTCTCGTATAAACCTGATAATATTTTTTATTCACTCGATTCCTCTCAAGGGGGAAACAGCGGACTTCAAGACTTCAAGACTTCAAAAGACTTCAACAGACTTCAACTGCAGTGACTTCATATTTTCACAAGACTTCAAAAGAGTTCTAAAGAGTTCTGAAGACTTCATAGGACTCCAAATGACTTCACAAGACTTTATAAGACTTCGTATGACTTCATAAGACTTCATGAGACTTCATGGGACTTCAAAAGACTTCGTTAGACTTCACAGACTTCGTGAGACTTCACGGACTTCATGAGACTTCATGGATTTCATGAGACTTCAGAGACTTTGTAGGACTTCTTGAGACTTTATAAGACTTCATAAGACTTCATAAGACTGCATAAAACTTCACAAGACTTCAAGAGATTTCAAGAGACTTCAAGAGACTTCATGAGACTTCATGAGACTTCATTAGAATTCAAGAGACTTCAAGAGACTTCATGAGGCTTTATGAGACTTCATGAGACTTCATGAGACTTCACAAGACTTCACAGGACTTCAAGAGGCAGATTCCATGCGTATCAAAAAACCTTATAGAAATTACATGAAACTTCTATAACATGCAAAAAACAAAACTTATCATATCGAGATTACAAAAGTGTTTCTTGTTTCTGAGAATTGTTTCTCGCAGTATATCTATATCTAGAATAAAGATGTGACAATGACACAAAGCGTTGATGAAATTAAAACAGAGAAAATAAACTTTACTGGTATGCGTATGTTTGATTCGATTAATCCAGCATTGGAAAACTCCTATTTTCAGGTGCAAATAAATAACAAGACTAAATTTATACACAAGCAAACGACTTGTTGGTTATTGACCGACGAAGCTAGCCGTTTATCGGCTGATAGATTATCACGAGTGATAGAAATAAACAAAAATGAATAAAATTCTTCATAAGATTGACATCGAATAAATGAAACATTTCTTATAAAAATAAACCACTTCATTCAAAAAGCATTCAGTTCTTAACTATCATGTTTTCTAAGATTCAACAAACTTGAATTTTTTTCCAGTACCTAGACAAACAAACAATAAAAAGTTCACCTTTCTGCTAAAATAAGACCGTCGAAAACAAGACAATTTCATTGTTTTTTTATGAATTTTCATGCACTAAACGTATTTCAAAACTTCCATAAGAATTCATGAGACTTCAAAAGACTTCAAAAGACTTCAAGAGACTTCAAGAGACTTCATGAGACTTCATTAGAATTCAAGAGACTTCAAGAGACTTCATGAGACTTCATAAGACTTCATGAGACTTCATTAGAATTCAAGAGACTTCAAGAGACTTCATGAGACTTCATTAGACTTCATGAGACTTCATGAGACTTCATTAGACTTCATGAGACTTCGTGATACTTCATTAGACTTCATGAGACTTCATAAGACTTCATAAGACTTTATGAGACTTCAGAAGACTTTATGAGACTTCAGAAGACTTTATGAGACTTCAGAGACTTCAAGAGACTTTATGAGAATTCATGAGAATTCATAAGACTTCAAAGAGACTTCAGAAGACTTCGAAAGACTTTCAAGATTTCATGGGACTTCACGACTGAAGTCTCTGCTGTTTCCCCCTTGATTCCTCTACGCACGATCTGAAACAAATTAAAAAATTCAGTCGAACAATATGGAATTGTACATGTTATGATACAGCACTTATTGTTTCGGAAGCTGATCCAGGTTCAAAAATTGAAGTTTACGATTTGTGTGCAGATCATTGGAATCCAGTTCAAACATTCACAGCACCAACATCTTGTAAAGTAGATCAACAGATTGAAAAGATTCGATTCAATAGTGATGGTAGTTGCCTTGGAGTGATTCTACGTCAAGGAAGTCAACCTAATTATTATCATTGGTTTGAATTACGTGATCCAAATAATATGACTGTAATTTCGACGACTAAGACTGATCTCGGTAATGATCAATGGTGTTGGCTTCTTACGCTACCCGACCGACAGTTTTTGGCAACTCTGTGGCGGGAGAAAAAATTCCTCTTGTTCGATTCACATGGGGAACTTCAAGAAACAACAGAATACGATAAGAATGTAAAATATTTAAACTCAACAGCATTAATTAATGGCAAATATCTTGTAGTACAACTATGGAAACCTGATGAACTACGTTTTTATAATTTATGATATAGACCCTGTTAGTAATTTGAGTGTGGGTGTGGATGTTGGTGAGATGTGAGATGTGGATCTGGAAGTGGGTGGGTGTGGATGCGGGTGTGAATATGAATAAAGGGATACAGTACACTCATAACCGCACCCACACCCTCGTTGTTCAATAATATAAATGCGAATGTTTATATATTTTATGAAAGCGTATTCAATATGTTTTCAAAATATCTTCTCTAGGAGATATTGCACTTAAGTTACGATCATTTCTACTGTATAGAATGACATTTTCAAAAGCTTTTAGGATTGAATTTCGGTACATAAAAGTTTTGGGTGTGGATGAGTCTTCTCTTCACCCACATCCACATCCATGTATTATTACAACTAAAATATCAGAACTTGAAGATGAAAATAAAGTATTGATCCTGCTGTGTTCAGCTTTTTCTGTTAGAAAGATTGAGCAAGGACAAGCAACAATAATTATTTATTTGAACGAATAATGTTTAACACATATGTTTGATAGTAATGGATCAGAAGAATATTCAACTAAGTCACCTGCAGGTCTACTAGAACTTGTTGGAAGTAGTCTTTTGCATAATATGAGTCAGATATTACTGTAGGAGAGTGACAGTATGAAATCACGATCCAACACAATGCCCGTATCAACCATATATTTTTAGTTTTGAGATGTTACTTAAAAACTTTAGTTTGAGTTCATTGTCCTGTTTTTTGTGGAATAAGGGAACTGGAATTGAAGGGTTATGTTGTTGAAATTCAGATACTTTATTCTCACTCCTATTAGTTCAAAAGGAAATAACATTGAGTGATTCCATGCAGCAGCGTATATGGGATTTTTCCAGCACTGGGGAAACGCTTGGTAAAGTTCTTCTAATCATTAGATAATTCAAAAGCCAACTCAGCCATAGTCTTCTTAACGTAACACAATTGTCATTGACAACCGACATACTAAATGACAAGGCAGACATGTTTAACATGTTCTTATCAATTATCAGCCAATGCACGTAGACCAAGTTATTTTGTGAACATACCATTTTGCTCTGAATACTTCAATTTTGTTTTCTAACAAAGTATTGTCAAGCAAATGTTTTGAAGAAGAAAATTGTTCCAGAAAATTATATAAAAGTCAATTACTCGACCATCAACTCTTAGTCAAATTGTTCTCTTATCTTCCAATGCATTATTGATTGGTTCTTTCTTCATAACAGCTAATTTTTCAGATCGTGGTTTTAACATATTATTAAAAATATGAACAATACAATTAAGGTAAATTATCATCGTCTAAGGTTTTGATAAAATTATTGTCTCGATCTAATACAAAAATAATACCATGTGTTCCAATGTTGAATCCAAAACATTTGAGAACAACTTTGATTGCCTACTGTGAGAAAGACAAAGTTGAAGTAAAAACGTTTATACACATCAGGGTAGATTTTTCTATATAGCAACGAAATACTATGAACTCGCTTGTCGATTTCAATATACAGTTTATAAATGAGATCAATTGTGTGTAGCTTACAGACACTATCAACGAAATGAACTGTTAATCCAAGATAATAATTTTTTGTTTGAACTTGTCGCTCCACATGTTTAAGCTAATTAAAAGCATTTCTTCTTTTGCTGCTTGGATCAATTCGATCTTTAGGTTGTCAAGAACTGCGCTTGCTTGTCGTCCAATTTCTCGGGTTATTATCAGTCTGGATGATACAATATCGTTCACTGTTATAGGGCTGAAAAATGACTCTGCAAATATTCAAATGAAGACATTGAAAGATGGATGACAAATTATAAGTTTACTTACCATCACTTCAGCTAAGACATTGTTGAATACCAGTCAGGATTCAACCAGTGATTTTGCAGATCCATGAGTATGTACAAATGTCTTATGGCAAGCTCGACATGATGCAGAATTCTTGATAATAGTAAATTTATTGTTTTCAAATTTGGTTGCTGGTAAATCGGATTGAAATCGACAAGATGATGGATTGATGTATTTTGGCTTCGTATTGTCGACGACTGTATATTTCTGTGGTTTTTCTTTTAGCAACATTTTACTGCTTATGTATTATACTTAATGTGATTGAAAGAACGTTGCATAAATAATATTCATACACTTGAAGATAGATGTGTATTGCTTGGCATCAAGACTGGCACTGGAGTAATTGACTTATTAGGCAACACGATTATGTGGCAATCGGATGATACCGATGGTGGGTGATGGATGAGAAGCACGAGAAAAGGAAAGAGAGAGAGAGAGAATCATGCAAAGTGAAGTGATGAGACCATGGACACGAGACAATCGTGTAATACGAAGAAAACGGAGGATAAAACGATCAATACATATTTATAACTAAGAGGAAAGAGAGCAATACATTGTAAAAAGCTTGTCAACGCAGCCTCTTTGGGACTAATATGTGGAACTCACATATTCCATGTAAGCCAGAGCACAATCTAGTATTACCAATTGCAAGAGAACAGTATCCGTTAAGTTTTAGTGTGCTCTCTCATTGATTCCTAGGGAAGCATCCGTGCTCAATAGCCTTTGACCACGATTCTCATGGTAATTGCCTTGTTAAGGAACACCTGCCGACATTACTAGGAAAACTTCGCCTTAAAACTTACATCCTCTGTTTTTCTTCGTAAAATATGTGAGTTCCACAAAAAAAGGGAAGCATGACTATGTCGAAAGTGAGGTAAGAGAAAACGGGAGAGCGCATAAACACAACGAAAAGCATATGGATAACTACGCATAACATGCATAGAACGCACATATGCACTTCTGATCACTGACAAAAGACGCAGAGAAAGAGAAAAAAAATGTACATAAGAAGAATAAAAGTGAGTTCGATTCAAAGATGTAAACAAAGAGATGTTTTTGTCTTTATAAGACGGTAGACACTATACACAGTTATAGACTCGTTTCCTCAACAATTTGCTCGTCAATTACAATATTTGAAGATGTACGATGGCAACGACTCAAAATTCTTAGGTTAATCCATGTAATTATTTCTATTTCACGAAATACATTCATATAAACTTTTGAAGGATAAATATAGATAAAGAATGAAAGAACTAAAGGCATATGTAAAGAAAGTCGAGAGCAATATGTAAACGCAGATAAAATTTTTTGCATACTTTTCTCTATACAGCATGTTCCAGCAATAATTGTCAATAATTCTTCCGGAAGCGTACAAATGATAATGACTAGTGGTGATATAAAGAAATCTTTGTGCTTCACAATTTGCTGCTTTATTAGTGATTGCCATGAATTTCTTTCTAAGTCAGTTAAAATGATTTTACGACGAATAATATGTGTTAATGTGAGGATAATTGATAAAAAGCTTAATAACAACGGTATTACAGAATCTGTGTAGATACTACTCCTCACTTTATAAGCTGCTTCTAAATTTTTATTTGAAAAAAACATTCAATGAACACACGTAAGATATCGTTGAAAATATAGGACTTTTATTAACGGAACGTCCAAAAGCTTTTATAATATTTTCTGAACTAATGAATAGGAATAGAATAATTAAGAAAATAACTGAACACTTTCGTGTACGATAAAGACTATAGTGGAAAACTTCAATTAATAAACGTTCAACAGCTATGAATGCACTAAACCATAGACACATGTTGTTCATTATATTAAGAAACGTAGGTATGAGTGTACAATATATTAGTGGATGTTTGTTTAGTTCATTATTGTAAAATAATGTTATAATTGCAATAATTTCTAAGATCACTACGGCAATAAAACTAAAGATCGAATAAAGTAGTATATATAGGCCACACCCTGTAATACGTATTTTTCTTATAAAACATGTTAAAAGAGTTAATAAATTATTAATAAATGATAGCACAGTTAGAAGAGAGAACATGAAAATAAAAAGAATCTTTAATGCTATTCTAGTAGAAGCTAATTCTTCCAACAGAATATTAATTAACATTGATGATGACATTGAATACTTTACATAGTAATAAATATTTTCACAAAATTCACCTCCTGTACAATCACTACAGACACAGTAATAGTTTGATGTTTGATTATTCATCATACACTGTCCATTATTTAAACACTTACATTCACTCATTCTGAAATTATCATTAACATGTAATTGAAAATTTCAGATTATCCTCTCAGTTCAGTCATTTTTGCACATCGACATACTCTCTAGAAAAAAAGACGTACCGTTAGAAACCCTTTAAGGGTTTTCAAACTCTTGAAAATTTATCGACAGTATCGAAGAAACGATCTGCTTAGAACGGCAGAACGAGAACAACCAAAATGAAGATGGAAGTAATCAATGTTTTCTCGTACTACTTAATATTTATATTTTATCGACATGAACCTTAAACTAAAAAAAATAAAACACTCTATTTCTATTTATTATTTGTAACTTACCATGTGTATCATATTGGTACGAATCTTAATATTAAACAAAAGAAAATATTAGTTTTGTATTCATTACATAGAACTTACCATATCTATCATATCGACTTCAATCTGAAAGTAAGCAAAACAAAATATTCATTTCTAATTTGTAAGATGTAACTTACTGTTTGTATTATATTGATATGAATCATAACATAAAAAAAAAGAAGATATTAGTTTTTGTATTCATTACATGTAACTCAGCATTTCTGTCATATCGATTGGAATGTAAGAATAAAAAATAAATGTAATAGCCATTTTCTATTCGTTATATGTAACTCATCATTTCTATCATATTGATATCAACCTGAAAATAAAGAATAAAATATTCTTGTTCTATGGTGTGGGTATCGGCGTGGATGAAGATCTCAACGCCTCACACTGGAACCTACACCCACACTCACGCCCATACTCACACGCTACATCCTCAATTTAATCAAAAAAAATCTGATTTCAGCTGTTTCCCACTAGGTAGATCCTCAATTATCGACTAGACTTTCAAAAAGTCGGCGCCAGATTTGTACTTACAGAACACATCACATTTGACGTAAAAGCCATTTATCAATGA